CGTGGGGTCGTTGGGGGGCGAGGGGGTCGTGGAGGAGGCGAGGCTGGGGTCGTTGTGGGGGCAGGGGTCTGAGGGGAGTGGCAGGGACAGCTGCTATAGCACATGGGCAGGGCACCACTGGCTGCTGTCCATCAAGCAGGCAGAGGAACAGAGCCCCCACCTCCAAATGCCAGACCCAGACGGCGCTATTTAACACTTCCCATGCCACTCCAGATCCAGGGTGGCCCAGGAATGTGGAGCCCACTGCAAGCCCAAGCACCCTGAGTAGGGCACAGGGTGGGGGGCTCTAAGTGGGGCCACCATCCACCACCACCCCAGGCCAGCTCCCGCAGGAGCCCAGAAACTCTTGTCTGTCACGGGGAACCAAAGTCACCAAGTCTCTGCCACCCTGGTCCTGGCGCCCCTGCTGCCACGAGGCGCCCCATCCGGGGCGGCCTGAGAGCCTGCCTGCGGGCTGGCTGGGCAGAAGCAGAGGAAAGGAGCACCACCCCAGGAGGGGGTCGGGGCCCAAGTGGTCAGGGGCCCACATGAGGACCCTGGAGCCTGCCCAGCCACACCCAGCAGTCACCCCCAGGCCCTCACAGATGAGGCTCCAGCCGTGGACACCCTGTGCCTCCCCATCCCATCCAACAGCCCGCTCTCCTGCTTCCAGCTGGGCCGACCCACACCTGGACCCGCGTTCTCCCGCCTCCCCCAAGCCGACACACCCATTCCCACCATGCACTGCTAACCCGGGAACTGATTATAAATAGGACGGGGCGAGGGGGGGAATCCTGAAGTGGGAGGCGCCGGCGGGCAGGCGGCCAACAGGCAGCGCGTGGGGGCGGGTTTATGAGGCCGTTGCCATGACACCGCAGAGCCGGCCCCCAACACACGCACACACGCATGCACACGCGGAGTTGTGGCAGAGGAAACTGCAGGCACAGCCTGCCCGCCAGCCCTCTGCGGCGCCACTCTTCCTCCACTCGTCCCCTACAGCCAGCCGGGCGGGAAGGGAGCCAGCCCCCAGGGACACCAGCTCGGGAGGGTGGGGCGCCGGCCCAGGGAAAACGCACCGCAGGCTGCGCGAGCGGGCAGCGGCCACGCCCCCTCAGCCTAGCAGCGCCTGCGGACCCTGCCGGCTACCAGGGCCGTGGCTTCAGGAACCACATCAGTCGTGGATTCAGGCCGGAGCTCAGGCCAGTGGCCCTTCTCAGCCTGTGCCCACGGAAAGCCCACTCCTGGCCTTTCCGTCAGCCCTCCTGCGCTCCTCGCCTCCCGCCTCACAGCCCCACACTGACCTCCTCTCCCTCCTAGCCGCCCCATACGTTCATGCACATTTTCCAGGTCTGACCTCAAAGCATGTCCCCCTCCCAAAAGGATTCCAAGCCACACCTAGGGCCCTCAAACACTGGGACCTAAGCTCTCTATTCCTCCTGCGCGGGCTTGCACGAGTCTTTGGCCAACCCACTCAGCCCTGTCATTCCCCAAGCCATCCCCGGCAGAAGGCTGCAATTTGGGGCGCCCAAGGAAGGGGGCGGGGCCCGGGGGGAAATCCTCCTCCCTCCCCAGCCTGCCCTCGGGGGATGAGGGAAGGAGCAGGGAGGAGCCTGGAGCAAGATGTTCCCGCCGGCCAGGCCAGCTCCAGCGCACATCCCACAGCCCCCCCCCAACCCCGCGCCCCGGGTTCGGGCGCCGTCCAGGTCCCAGGGCTGGGAGAACGCCCCTTTATGCCCTGCCCCCACCCTGCGGGCACCGCCGCCGCAGCTGCTGATTCAGCACTGGGAGGGCTGGGGCAGGCGGAAAGGGCGGCCCCCTCCCGCAGATTCAAGGCCCCTCCAGGTTTCCAGGGCAACCAGTTGGGGCCTTACGGCAGCCCCCAGCACCCCCATCCCAGAACAAAGAGCCGCAGTGTGGACTTGCCCGGGGCCAGCCCGCCTGGCGCCTCCCCGCAGAGATCCCCAAGGCCCTGACCCGTCCCCTGGACGCTGCGGGGCGGGGGCTCTGCAGAGTCCAAGAGGAGAGAAAGGGCCGACCGGTTCCAGAGGCACCCTCCCACTTCCGCCCGCCCCCCCGAAGCCGCAGCAGACACTCGCTGCAGGGCTGCAGGGCTGCAGCTGGAGTCGCCTTCCTGCCAGCCCCGGGCAGACCCCGCACCAGGTGGAGTCCTGGCGGGGCATGGGCCTGGGGTCTTCTGCGGCTCCAACTCCTCACTCCCAAAGCTGCCCCTGGGGTGGCAGCTCCTGACCGCTGCCCTGCAAGGCCAGCACCCAGCTAGAGGTCACTGCCTGGTCCGCGCCCCCACACTTCCCCGGCTCGGGGCCCGTCCCCAGCCCGCACCTTTGAGGGAGCTGATCTCATGCTGGATAGCTCGCGAGGGGTCCATGTCTCTGTCTCCGCCGGACTGAGGGCCACGGCGGCCGCCACGCAGAGTGCAGCCCCGCACTGCACTGCCCAGGCCAGAGCCGCAGCCTGGGGGAGGAGCTGGGAGGCGCGGGGCGGTCCTTGCCGGTCGGGGCGGGGCTTCAGCTGATCGATGCGCAGGGCAAGGCCGGCCAGCGCATGCTCGCGTCCCTGGTACACAGTGCCCATCCTTCCCCACCCCCTCTCCCTGGCGCCTGACCCCGCTAAGTCCAGCCAGACTGCCAGGCCACCAGGCTGGACCCACCCCACCCCACAGTACCCCCCACCGGTCTCCCTCCTGGCTGCTTCGTGCACGTGGCTTCCCTGAACTCGAAGCCATGGCTACTCACTCCCTGCGGGAGACACCCACCAGACTGGGCCTCTCCGAGACCTCCTCAACCAGCACCCTGGGTGAGAAGGGAGGGTGGATCCCACCAGGGCAGAGGCTGGAGGCTCCTTCCTCACCACTATTCACTTCCCCACCTTCCATGCCCCATTCATTGTCTCTGCCCTGTGGCCTCTTGCCTCAGCTGGGGGCCTTCTTCCACACACATGCTCCTCTGGGTCACCTCATTCCATCTTGTGACTCAAAGATACCCTGTGCTCCCTGACTCCCAAGATGACACATCCAGTGTCACCCCAGCCTCGGCCTCTCCCATTGAGGAAATCCCCACCAGGCTTGTCTTGGGATGCTCTTGTCTTCCCAGATTTGCAGATTCACCACCATTTAACACCCAGTGGTTCAGGCCAACACTCTGTGGTCATCATCCCCATGGCCAGCCCCACAGGTCTTGGTGGCTCCACCTTCCAGTCTGTCCACCTGCCACCACCTGGCCAGGCCCAGCACCTTGCAGGGTCCCCTTGCAGTGCCACCTCTACTGCTGACAGGATCAGCCTCCTGGCCACTGCCTGCTCCTTGGGTAGAGGGTCAGCGCTGCGCTGCCCAGTGGGACCAGCACTGCCTCACTCGTGGTGCTACAGGAAGCCGTAAACAGATGCACACACCTTGCGCACACCTTGGCACACACCACGTCCACGTTGGCCCCAGGACTGGACCGTCCCATTCCACCCCAGTCCCCTGTGCTGACAGCCTCAGTCTCTGCCAGGCCCACATCCCAAATCCTTTCTTCATCCTCACCCCAAGGCCCCTCCTGGTCTCTTGGGACCCACACCCTGCCCAGCCAGGCCGCCTCCTTCAGGCACCCGCACCTTTCTGCAGGCAGGCCCACTGTGTGTCAGGTCTGGACTGTGGGCAGGACATTAGGACAGCACAGGGGCGAAGCCAGCAGTGCCCACAGGTACAGGCTCAGCCTGATGAACAAAGAAGCAGGTGCAGCCCCACATGGGCTCAAGGCCTGGCTGCTCTGGAGGCCCTCACACCCCATCCCTGCCCTTCTCAGGACTCAACCCATCTAGGGCACAGGCAGGTCTCAGGAAAGAACAGTTGCAAGCCTGGGGTGAACAGTAATGTGAGAAGTTAACACAGGACTTTGGGATTCCTTTCACCCAAATTCCTATTTACTTTTTTATTAGCTACTTCCAGATGAACCTAAATTCAGCCCGTGACTGAACAGCACTTCCTCATTAAACCTCAAGAGAGGAGGAAGGGTGTAGCTCAGTGGCAGAGCTCATGCTTAGCATGCACAAGGTCCTGGGTTCAATCCCCACTACCTACCT